TAATCAGAAAAGCAGTCCAAACTGAATGACATCCAGTTCTCCATGCATGGCTTGTGTTTTACCACCTGGGGACTTCCAGTTGTTTTCTATTTTTAATGAACTTTATTGAGATATAATTTCATAGGATAAAATGCACCCATATTAAGAATGTAGTTCTGAGTTTTGGTGAATGTACATAGTGAATGTAGATAGTATCTACCACTACTCCCAGAAGGTTCCCTGTGTTCCTTCCAAGTCAGTCCCCATCTCCACTTGCAGCCCAGGACACTGCTGATGTTAGACATACCATTACAGATAGAATATCATAGAAATGGAATAATGGAACATATCCTTTTTTTTTAGCCTGAATTTTTTTCTCTTACCATGATGCATTTGTGATTCACCTATGTTGTGTGCATTTGCCTTTGCTTTTGACATTTCCTCCAAGGATTAGGTCCTTTCTGCAAATTTTATCTCAAATGATATCCTCTGTTTTCTTCCTTACTTCAAATCCTGATCTGCATAGTACTGTTCTGTTTCATCCTCACACAGCAGGTGTGTAAATAAAATTACATGAGTGTTGAATTTTTCTAGACCAAATTTGCACTTTGTTCATTAATAATCAATTATTTGTTTTCAAAATCACATCTGTGTCACCTCTTTAAACATCTTTAATGTTTCTTTTGACATGTTGACTTGCACACTTTGCATGTGAGCACCTAATTTTTTGCATAATACCTTATAAAACTGGGAAGATGGAAATGGAAACCATTTTATCCTTTAAAATCAATTTAAATTGATAATCATTGAACCACAAAAAAGCAAAAAGCAAAAGTTATGAAATAATTCAGATATTTCCTCTAGAGAGAACACTTTTCTTATTTTAGAATTTTAAAAGAAGGGACTAATAATTCCATTAAAAAGAAAATATAAAATTTTACTTGAGATAAAAATTCAGCATAATATGCTTCTAGTAATTTTATTTGGGGATATACATGAGAAAAAAATAAATGAAGGGGAAAGAGGGGAAAAGGTAATAGAAAGACTTAAATATAGAAGGTAATAAAGATAGAGAGATACATAGGCTCACAAAAAACTAAACACTGAGGTATATTAAGAGGGAGTGATGCATGTAATGTGCACACGTGTAGATGATATTTTATGTGGTAATATTTCCATCTTGTGGCCTCTTAGGGTATTTCCTCTAAAGCGTTTTAAAGTCAGCTTTTGCTCACTCTAAGGACAAATGGGAAATCACCTCTTGGCATGTACTCTAAGGGTCAATTGAATTTCCAAAGTAGAGACTAGAAACCCCCCATTAAGCTGGAAAGCTAGGATTTTCAGCTTTTACAGATGGCACGGTTTCTTAGTACAAAAAGAAAATGGGATGGGATGCACAAAAGTACCCCATTCCTTATAAATAATGAGAGACTGTTTACACAGATAAGGAGTCCACTTTCTTTGCTAATAGTGTAGGGAAGACCCAGGGAATTCCCTTCTCTAACCTCAGCCATATTTTCTTATCTCCCTGTCCCGTCTGATTCTAACCCCAGTTCATCCTCCCTGCCCCAAACCCCCAACAGTACCAGCAATTCCTGGAAAAAGCAATTCCACTTGACTTCTATTATCAACATGTTCTGTCATCATGCATGCCTATGTTTTGACTGGCGAGTGGTTGGTGTAAAATGGGGGAAGTAGGAAGCATGCCCTGTGCGTGATCGTCCTGAGAGAAGGAAGAAGATGGCTCTGTACTTGCTTACATGGTGTTGGATTTAAATTTGGTTGTTGGACATGTGTCTGAGGCTTGCCGGGTCAGAACTTAGAATACCCTGGCCAGAGTGATTGACTTAAGGATGGGTTGTTGGGTTGAACAGTTCTCAGCAGAGAACTCTAGGCAGAGTTGTAAGCTCAAATCAACTACACTGCTTGCTACTCTTTCATTCATTTATTCTACACATATTCAGGTGTCAGGTGTTCTGGACACAGTGCTGAACGATACAGACGTGGTCCCTACTCTCATGAAGCTTAGGCTGCGATGAGGAGTCAGAGTGAGGAGAGAGCTGAGGAGCAGCAGGGGACGGGCTGGGTTCAGTGGGGGTCAGGAGAGCACTGTGTGTTGTCTGCTCATAAATTACCTGTTAGTGTGACTTTTTAGGCATATGAGTTGGTTGATAAATATTAGGGGCAAAAAGCTCAGCAAAATAAAAAACTTGTGATGGACCTTATTTTACCAGAAGTTTAATTAATAAGGATCTATCTCAGTCAACTGAAGACCATAGAACTTTTAGCTGTGTATATAAATGGCAAAAATGAGGCAGACAGAATGATCAGAAAGTGTGTGTGGCAGGGTATGATTTGAAATGACTTCCCAAGAAAGTGAATTTTGAAATAGTTAAGAAATCATGGTGGACAATGATAGAGGAGACAAGCCTCAGTGGCCCTGCAGGTGTGGGATATCACCTAAGCAAAATGCTGTGCTGACCACTGCAAGTGCTTCGGGGGGAGGAGCTGGGCAGAGTGGCTTATAAGAGAGTTGGAAGAAGGTGGGTGGAATTCCACACTGAGATACTTCGATTAGATTGTATAGAGGTATGGGTGACAGGTTTCCATGTAGGTCCTAATAACGACAGTGAATAATTGCTGGGCCATCTCCTGATAGAGACATGGCTAAGATCTTAAATTACGGAATGCTCAACTAGCCGCCTGGGTTCCTGAGGCTTAAAGGAGACTTCAGGCAAGCACACAGGACATCTTGGCCAATGCCTACATCTTATCCCTCCCTAGAGCTCTGGCCCCATTTCCCTATCTGTCTCCTCTTCTAGCTGAATTGTGCCAGACCATGTGGGAGCCAGGATGGTAAACCTGTGCTAGGGCCAGCTGGGGTGTCTGTGTAGTGGATACTGTTTATTTTGGTTGCTTTGCTTCTCTTTCCCCCTTTTGGCAGCAGCCTCCGTATTTCCCTTTGGGATTCCCACCTCCTCGTACTCTCCATCTATGTAGTTTGGGATGAGTCCACTCCTAGCTTCATTGGTATGTGCTTGGGACTGGTCAACCAAAGTGGTTTCTGGGACTTTTACAGGAGATCCTGGGAAGTAAGGAGAGCCTAACAGTAAGGATTTTGTGAGCCTGAAACTGCTACAGAGGCTGAACATTGCTAACCCTAGGAATAAGGAACAAAGGGATGGAGAAGAAAGTGTCTGCTTGTACCTGAAATACTGAGAATTTCAGAATTACAAGCTACTAATAATGTTTCTTGTCTGGTTAAGCCAGTGGTTTGGGTTTTCTGTTGTATGTGACTAAAAGTCCCAATCTCGACCTGGGCCAAATTCTTGGCTTTTTTTTCATATGCCCAAGCTTTGGTCTTGACCATCTGGATCTTTCTTGTCTGGCAGAGAAGTCATTGAAGAGCAGAACTGTCAGATTACCCCCTGGAAGCCTCTTTTCCCTTCAGCCCCACCCTGATCCTGCAGGCTTTTCAAGAACTGGAGTCCTCCTTCTGTGGGTTATGGAAGGGAAGAGAGGAAAGACAGTGGTATTGACTAAAAGATTGTCTCTTTTTCCTTTTTCTTAAAACTCTACTCCTTAGCAGTCCAGCTTCTGAAGTCTTTTTGGCCTTTGACCTTCATTAGAACTCCTCTTTCTTTGCAGGGTAGGGTTGTGGGTACAGTGCAAGGAAGGAAACTTTAAGTACCTCATAGAGATTATAAATTTTAGCCAGCAATGATGTCTGAGTAAGATTTTCCCCACACAAGAAGGGCTAAGAACTTGCAGTTCTGGCTCATACTGCCAGCCTAGGCAGTCACCCCTCATCCCATTTTAGAGATTTAGAGAATCTCTAAAGTAACTGACACAGGTTGTACATTCTTTGTTACTTGGTATTTTTTCCCAAGGGTCTGTGGTGGTTGGGTTCTGTATGCAAAGCTGCTTTAGTGACCATTTTTACCTAACTAATTAATAAATTAGAGGCATATAGAAATCCTACTATAATAAAAATCTGTTTAGAGCTTAAACATTTACAAACTGCTTTCACATCTACCATCTCCTTTCATCTTAAAAAGAGCCTTGGGCAGAAAACACACTGTTTATTAGGCCATTTTACAGAAGAAGAGATTGACTTAGAGCAGTCGCTTGCCTAAGATAATGCAGCTAGTAGCTGGGGGAGCTGGAGCTGAAGCCAGAGGCTGGGTCCTTTGCCTCATTCAGGGACTTCTCTCCCAAACTAGCAGGCAGTCTGGGTCAGTCTGGAGCTGAGGAAAATCAAAAGGAGTAGAAAACATGGACTGATGGAAAAATCAAGGTATATATACAAGATACGAACAGCTATGTGGATATAAGTCAGGCCAGACTTTATCTTAGGAATTCCATGAAATGAAAAAGATAGTGTTATCTCTCTTAGGTGTAATTGTAAAATATAAAACATGACTAAACTATAAAATAAGCATAGGGATTCCACTGAAATTGTGATTATTTTCTGTGATAACTACTTAGAGCTTCTTTTTGAAATGTCCAATATCAAATTCTTTCAGGAGGAGTTTTTCCTGTGCCCTTGATTTGCTTGTGTTATAAGCATAGCCTGTTTGGTGGTCCAGCACATTATATTATGAATGATAGAATGGTAGAAGTGGTGGCTAAACACAGTAACAGCTTTATGCTTCCTAGCATATATAGTGTATATAATAGGTACTAAACAAATACAAGGGAAAATGTCTGTTTTTCAAGCATTATAGAAACACTCCACTCAGTACTAAATCTGTTCCAAGATATTTAAGAAGTTTTAGGGGCCATATTCTAGGTACTCTGAACTACTGAACTAAAGAGCAGCTGAGCCCAGGCTTTAAACAAATAATCAAATTACTATCAATTTTGCAGAAGTGAGTTGCTCAGATGTTTGAGTTCAAAGCTACATTTAATGACCTCATTTAGATGTTGCCTTTTTGAGGTAACCACTTAATATGTCTTGCCTGGATCAGCCCAATTCTGCTTTATTACACAGTGAATTGCTCTCTAAGTGAAGTACGTACCTGCCAAGCTTCAACCTTCTTGATATCTGCACAGGAACCATTGGTGAAGAGCCCTTTGCCAGGCAAGCAGGTATATATATCTTGCAGGGCATGAGCAATGGAGTAGACTGCTAGGTAGACATTGTAGGATATCCGTAAATGTGTATAATCCATATAAGGAGTCTCCACACTGCTGATGTTCTCTTCCCCTGTACAGAGAGGTCGGAAGGCAGTGGAGCTGTTGCTTATCCTGCCACCACCTTCTTCGTGACCTCTCAGGAAGGTGGCCACAGGTAAAGGTCCTTTAGCACCTTCGTGGAGGTGGCAGTTGAATGTTTCTTCCCAAAATTCCTTGGCAAAACCATTGTGAACAGACTTCCTGGGATGGACTTTCTGCAGGAATTCCCGGAAACCTGGGATTTGCCCAGCCTTCAAAGCAAATCCAATGGTGCCTCCAACCACATGGAAGTACTCTGGCATGGCGATCAAGGATGAGCTGGCCCAGGCTTCGCTGGCCAGCCAGATCCTGCCTGTGATATTGCGCCGGACGATCTCCTTGATGAGGGGTTCAAGGTCTGGGCCACTGGAGAAAACGACTATGACTTTAGCTGTAGAATTCTGAATCACCTCCACTACTTGCTGGATCTCCTCCTCATCAGAATACTGAGAGATGAGTTCACTGAAGTCAATGCAGATATCCCTCTCCTCAGCTTCCTCTCGGAACTTCTCGATCCCTGGCCGGCCGTAGTCATCATCAGCTGCAATTGTGCCCACCCAGTTCCAGCGGAAATACTCAATGATGTCTGCCATGGCAGTAGCCTGGTGTTCATCGTTGGGGATGGTACGGAGGAAGGACTTGAACTGATTCTTGTTGCTCAGGAGCCTGCTGGAGGAGGCATAGCTGACCTGGAAAGAACACATGAATGCATGAGTGAGGTGCCAGATGGGCCTCAAGGCTGTGCAGAAGTGGCTTTTTGAGCCCCCATTAATCTAATTGATCAAGATGCTCTTAACTGCAGACAGAATAAAAGGGTGAGGATAACCAGAACCTATCTATCCGTCTCCACTGTAAGCCATCAAGCATCTGTTAGTCTTATCAGGGAGAATTCTAATTCCCAGTGGGTGATTCTTCACAATGCTACCTTCAAAAAATGGGTCTGGCCATTAAGTCAACCCAATAATAAATAGTAGGATCTACCTAATCCTTCACGGAGAGTCTTTAGGCTGTGTTCCATAGACTCTCCCAGATCCCTTTGCGCTGCCTCACTGGTTGTAATGTATTCTCATACACATCTTCTGCTCGTTGGGTCCAGGTTCTGATTTGAACATTTTAGCTTCCCCTTTATTGTGATGAGCACATTGTCCATGACTCAGTGCTGGAAGGAATCAGGTTCCCTATGGGTTATGAACCTAAGGCTCTTCAGAAGAGCCCCAGGGGGTTCCCCTTTCCTGTTTTATCTAGTTTCTCTCTTCCAGTCTCCACTTATTCCCTCTCTTCCCTCCCCTATTTCTTCACCTCCTCCACCCTCTCAGTACTTTAGATACAAGTACCCTCATTGCAGTCATTTCTAAGAACTGTTTATCATTTAGGACCCAGGTTCATTAGACTCAGTTTTCCTGCACTATAATAATGATGCACTCCATCAATAAATATAGTCAGAAAAACATTCTTTCCTCTCGTGGCTTCTCAGTGAGTTCAACCACCACCCAGAGCCCTTTCCTCTGTTCAGTTTCAGGTGGTGGCTAAGGCTTCTTGACAGGCTTTAGATGTGGGTCTCCATAACTTAGAGAGGCTGAAAAGGAACCCTGGAGAAGCTGCCTTGGTGATTTTCCACTTTCTGAGACAGCAGGTTCTACATTTGAGCATGGGTGTGTCCCACCAAGGGAAGAAAGCCTTACCCTTTGAAGGTGAAAGATCATTGCTTGGAGAAGTATCCAAATGTCAAGTAAAGTGTTTGTTAGTGCAGATCTTCCCAACTTTTTTTCACATACTCACAAACACTGAAGTGGGGTTGATGGAGGAAGCTGGCCAGCTCTGGTGGGAGTGCTCTGGCCACCCGAGACCCTACCTAGCCATCCTCGAGGGGCTCAGTTTCTCAGCAGGCTTCAGCCCATCTGCAAGCGCTCCTTTGTGTCTTGGCTCACCAGTTAGGAAGTTCCTAGTTATTGGACCATTTCTTCTCAAGTATGAAGCATTTTTACACTAAACGGAATTCTTCTTGGCAATGAAGGAGTGTTTAATAGCTCTTATTCTCCAATTTTCTAGAGAGATTTTAAATTTTTTAAGAAAACCAGGTTGAAATTTTGGGAAATGACTTTTTAGTATTTCTCACCAATTGAAATAATTAGTTTTCTATGTTAAGTGTTCTAAAATGAATTTTTTCTGATGTATTCCTTTTTAACAGTGAAGAGTTTCTGAATAGTTTCATCAAGGACATAAAAGGCATTGGTATATGAAAGACCTGGGCCAACTTTACTAATGGTAGGCATTCTGACAAGAGCTTTGATTTTTGGAAGTTATAATATGGAATTTTCAGTTTTTCTCTTTTTATCAGAATAAGCCTCTTCTTATTCCACTAGGAGAGTTCATGAGGTAGGTAGTTAGATTAAGTAACTTGTTGAGATGTTACTGTTTTTAGAGAACTCTATTTGCAGACTTAAACAAAGCTTCTGAATCAGGTTTTTGCAAATGAAAAACCTACCTAGGCATTTTGTAAGTTCATCCATTATTGGTTATACTTCTTGGTTTTCTTTTGGAAAATGGGCTTAAAAGGGCTTTAAAGGGATAAAAATTACAAGCAAATATATCCCCCATGATTATGTTTCCTTTAAGAATGCATTTCTAATTTTCCAGTTTTTAAAAAGCAACCTAGTAAAGTGGAGATAAATAACACTTCATTACCCCCCAGTCAAAAAAAAAAAAACCCTTGAAAACACACCAAACTTTGTTATATATTGAGAAGGGAGAATTTCACAAAAGATTCAGAAAACTTCTAACCGCAACTTGTTCTATGTGGTCTGCTTGTTATATCCACTTGGTGGCGTGAGGGGCGTAAGAAATACCACTAGCCTCTGCTGCCACCTTGCAGAGCAGTGGTTCCCAGCTCTGGTGTTTGTTCGAATAACCTAGGGAGCTTTCAGAGCTCCCCACGCCCAGGCTGCACCTCATATCAATTAAATCAGAAGCTCTGGGAGGGGGCAAGGACTGGACGGTGGGGAGGTGAGACCCAGGCATCAATATATGTAAAGCTCCCCAAATGATTCAAGCATCGCATCGGTGGAGAACCTCTGCTGTGGAAGCACACTGGTTTGACTGATAATCACTAGTCTTCTCAGAACTTTTGTAATTTAGATTGAACTCAACCTTATCTTTCATCCAAAGCACAAAGAATTAAAGCCCTCTCATCTTGTACTTTATCTACGTGACGGCAGTTACATCTTACTGCTTGTTGACCATGACAACTTACTTTAACCGTGTATTTCAAATAATACTGACCAATATGCCAAATTTGAAAGATACATATTTGCATCTCACCCAACACATTTACTGATGTGGGCTTTGTTAGACCACCTTGGCACAAAGTTACAGAGCCAGGGCTTCCCCATGGGAAACACCTTTAATTCCCTGAAGTAAAGATTTGAGAAATGATGACAAGATTTCTCAGTTGTTATGTGTGTGTAAAGGGATAATGGCTATCACCAAGGAAACAGAGACCTCCCAACATAGAAATGGGTATTAATCAAGGTACTCTTACAGAATTCAAATATTAGACATTGAAAAAAATTTTAAGTGTGATTTATAATTTAATTTAAAAATTAACATAAGGGATATATCACAACTGAGCTGATTCTCCCATCCACGGACATTAAGGTTATTTCCAATTTTCACTATTATAAAATGATGTCATAGATCTATAAATATTAACACGAGAAAAGTGTTTGCTCTATAGTGTGAAGGGGAAAAAATCAACTTATAAAATGGCATTTAGAGTTTGCTGTCTTTTTTTCTTGATGAAGAAAATATGCGACTTTGAACAAATGTTTATTAAAGCACTTGTTTCAGTGAATTGATGCTATTTGAAAATGCAGGTGTTTGAAAATCCCACCTAGGCTGATATCCTGCAGGGTGGAGACTGTTTATTCATAATAACTCTATAAATATTTGTTGAATGAAGTAGAATATTTTCCATTTCTAGAATGTGCAAGACAATGCTTATGCTCCTGTTTTGTGAGAAAATATGCTCTGCTTCCCTCTGAGCTAAACTTTCAACCAGAGGGGAGAAAGGCAGAGACTTTTAAGGGAATAAGATTAGGGACACATACTTCGAGTTTGAAAGTTAATATTTACATCATATGGTCTCTTTCTTTTTAGTAATGGCAGCAGAAGGGTCATTTAGTAAAGGAATGGAGTGGAAAATAAATAACTTTACACTTTGGGAAAAAAACAAAAGTTTTATACCAGGTATTTTTCAAAGAATTTTGCAAGAGTTGTGAAGTCTAGTTGACCTTGTTGAAATTGGGGTCTCAGAAGTCACAAATGGTCATGATATAGGGCACCAACTAAAAAGGTCTTCTGTGCCCATGGAAAGCCAGAGATGAGAAAATAGCAAGTGTGACCCTGGGTAGGGCAGTCCTCCTAGCCTGCCTCTCCTGACCCGTGTCCTCACCGCCCCATCTGAGAACCAGTACCTGGGGAATGTAGAAGAGCCCCAGCAGATTTGCCACTGCCGTAGAGATGCCCGAGCCAGTTGCTCCCACAACAGCGATAGTAGAGGGAATGTGCTCTGAGCAGTTGCAGAACTCGTCAAGGTTCAAAGAATCAATTTTGTTCTGTGCCACAAAACTCAGAGTGGCCTCCAAGGCTTTAGAAACAGTGTTGCAAGTATCAAATATCCTGTATCCCAGCGTCATGTTGGGAAGAAGGGCTGGGCTGCTGTTTATTTCCTCTATGGCAAATATCATAGCTTGTAACCAGCGAAACCCACGGAAATTATACCTGGAAGAAAGAAGACATGGAACAAAATGGGAGGCTTTGTGGTCAACTACTCAAATGGAGGGAGGGGACACATCTGGGTTTGGATTGTGGCTGTTACCCTTCGGTTCCATGATGTTGTGTTCTTTGAGACTCCATGTCCTCTCTGTACAATAGGGTGGCTGTGAACATGAGATAATCATGTAAAATTCTCAGCATGGTGCCTCATACAGAGTTAGGGTGCAACAATAATGATGGGTGTTGTTGGTAATGAAATTGGGGTAATGAAATGAATGAGTAATTTGTATCTGCCTCACTCAGCAAAGAATTTGAAGTTACTGATACGAAGTACTTTAATAAAAGTAATAGAGACATTAAAAAAAAACCAGGGAAAATATAAATAAGATTAGGGTTTTAATATATGGGAGCCTAAAAATAGTCTCAATTTGCAATCACAAATTTAGATGGTGACATTCCTGGAGGTCAGAGGGGAAAGAGAAATGAGAGCTCATATTTGTAAACAAACAAACAAATATTATGCATAGGAAGGCTGTTTACAAGCAGAGGTTATTTCTGGGTGGTGGAATTTTAAAATTGTGTGATTTTGGTTTATTTATACTTATTCTTTTTAAAAAAGTGAGCATGCATTGCTTTTAAGCAAATTAGCAAAGGGTAACAGCCTCAGTGATGTAGTTTTCTCTCTTCCAAGACTTGGCTCAGAGTAAGAGCTCTGCAAGTGTGCTGAGTAAGTGCATCATTGCCCAAAGGAGAGAACATAGTAATTCCACAGGTTCTTTCTGTAGATCGTGGGTTATACTACTTGAACTCAATGACAGGAACTGAGAAATACAATCTGTTATACTCCAGTGTATTGTTTAGGTTCCTAAAGGTCCTGGTCTAACTTTTAATGTAATGTTTTCTCTTAGTCATTTTCTTTATGTTTCATCATTTATTTGTTTGTTTGAGCCTGAAAGTTATTAAGAGATGCTACAAAATTTTTCATTACATAAAACGTCTATACTGCTGAACTGATTTTACTATCTTTCTTTAATGTAATTAAAAATACATTATTTCAGGGCAAGCTTCTGGCTTGATCTTACATATATACAGAGTACATGCATAACTCCGTCTAGGAGGGTACAATAAAGAGGTTACTTGTCCACATGGGTCATGTGAAGGATGTAAATAGCACCAGAGAGTGAAATTCTGCACTTAGTTTTTCTGCATTCATAAGAAAAATGTGAAAATTTGTATCTAATAAGAAAATTTTTATCTAATTAGAAAATGTTCTAATTTGTGGGCTCTCATTAAAATATGAATGGAAATCCAGTTTTGTTGGAACAGTCCTAGTTTTCATGTTCTGGAAGACCAAGGAAAAGGGCTGGACCCCCCTGGACATCACAAGTCTCAGGCTGAAAGTACTGTTCTCTCTTAGTAGAAGGGTCAGGACTTGCAGTACATGCAGTCATGGTCTCTAATGTCTAGATTAAGGGAGATGAAGCCCATTGTACTCTGCAGAAGTCAGATCCTACTTGAAGGAATGGTGCCTCCTTTTAGATGCCATATTGTAAAAGAGTCATGATAGACTAGGGAGCCTTAGATGGAGGGCAACCAGAATGGTGAGGGATCTGGACATCATGTCACGAAGTATTGTTCAGAAAATTGAGACTCTTTGGCCTGGAAAAGAAATGATTCAAGGGGACATGTTAGCTGTCTTCAAATGGCTGCAGAGAGAATCCAGTGAGAGAATTAGATGGATTCTGTGTTTCTCCATCTGCGTTAGATAGATTCTGTATTTGCAGGGGGATTTCAGCTTTCTACAAGAAAGACTTTCTAATGGGAGTGGTCCAAATGCTGTGGGCTGCGTTTTGAAGATGCCTGGGTCATGCCAACCATGGAGGGTCCTTTCAACTTTAGAATCCTTTAAAAGAATTAGGAGTGAGGCAGCCAACACTCAGGTATTACTAACTGTTGGAGCACTTAAGGTCAATAGGAGATTGTACGGCTCAGGTTTGCAAGACTTACACTAAATTTCTTTCTAGGTACTTAGTCTTCCATTAAGCAACACTGCTGCCAGGTGAACAGTGAGGACTCAGTTGCCTAGTGACCAGGCATATGCTCTAACAGGCCATGATATTTTATTTTTGAAACATTTCTTTATAAAGGGGGACAGCTGGAATAATAAGCTTCAGCATGATTATTAATCACCATTTTTGAAAAGACAGAGCCAGATCTGAAAAAAATTATTTTGACTTTGATTCAGCTTTTCTCCAACCACCCGGAAAGAAGAGGCTCTCTGCCTTGGCTCCTTCCCTTACCTGATGCATTCCACAGACTCTGGCCTTGACTTTAGATCTTGATCTTTGGCTGCTACTCCAAAATGAATAGGAAAGAGCCCCCCGAGGATAATGTCCCCTTTCTTCTGGGCACGCTGGTCAGGCCCATAGGCAGAAGTGCACCAAGTAAATGCCAAGAGAATCACACAGCGACTATAAAAGGCCATAGTTCTACTTGCTCTCCAAGAGGAGAGACAAGAGTGCTGGTAGTTTAGGGGCCTGGGAACTTTCCCCCTTGGTGCGGTTCACTCCCTGCAGTGGGGGCACATATCTACAGGGTGACTAATAACAAAATGGAAGTTGCGACGTTTGAATTTCCATTTCTGCCTTCTCCATTGCAGAGTAGTAAGATGGGTGGTTCTTGAGTCTTTAGAAGCCACATCATGTAAAAACCACCTGTGATACTTTCTAAAAGAAAAGAGAGACAAAACGAATTAAACTAAGCCTATATCCAATCTTGTTATGATAAACACAATAAAAACGGCTTAGAATTTCCATACAGAGGTAGCAGGTGATCAAGGCCTGCCTGTGAGTCTCATTTTTAGAGTACTTCACGTAAGATAAGAAAACTTTACTTGTGCATATTGGAGAAGGACTGTATTAAGTTGTGAGAGGCCACATTTTAAAGAGGCCACTGATAAGCTACGGCCTCAACTGTTGTTGATGCTGGATTTTATTCCATTCATTCTTATGCATAAATAATACATAAAATTGGCCTAGGAGTAGCAGTTTCTTGTATTATAATAATATTACCAGTATTTTATTAAGCATATATATTCTTATAGAAGATATAGAATGAGTCCTATTTAAGTTTAAATCTGACTTTAAATCAAACACAAGCATCAGGAAAGGTCACTTAATCTTTATTTATAATGGTAGACTCCCGCTTTTGTGCCTCCTCATCACAGATCTCTGGCTCCAGTTTGTAATATGATACCCCATAAACCTTTGCAGAGTGAAATAGTTCTTGTAAAGGGTGCAGATAAATCAAGAGTCAGATTATGTTCGAAAAAGCTCAACAGCTGATGGAGGGAATATCCTTCTGCTTTAGCACAATTATCCTGGTAGGAACTCTTTGCACTTCTCACTCTATCTCACCTACTCTGTGGGTCAGTTACAGTTACCCATTATATACTGATGTTGGCTAATTAGCCTCTCCTGAGGCTCAGAGCCAAGCATTGAACTGTCAACCAGACATCTCCCACAGGTACTTCCAACTTAACAGACTCTAATCTCACCTTCCTCCTAACCTTGTGCCTCTTACCTGTTTTCTATCTCAGCAAACGATGTGCGTCTACAACGGCACAAAATGAGGAGTCATCGTTGCCTCCTCCCTCTTATCATTGCCCTTGGGAGAACTGATAAAGGGAAGCCTCACTGACATGGTATCTGGAGGCCTGCAGGAGGCGCTCTCAAGTCCACCACTCCTGGTCAATTGCAGACCCCACAGGAAAGAAGAGACGAACATGTTCATCTCATATTGTTTTGGCTTCTTTACCCTCCAGTAGGGTAAGAAGAGGGAAGACATTCTGCCTCCCCAAACGACAGCCCAGCAATAGCCCAGCCAATGAGAGACTGTTACAACTCAGTGAGGAGTTTTGTGCCTTTGTGGATGGCACATTTGCTGCGAAAACAGCAGCCACCACACATGGGCCTCCCAACTTCCTCCAGTGGACTTTATGCTTAGAAAAGTACCCCAATTCTCCCCCTTTCTTCTAGGAAAGAGCATTCATCCCCTTTGTTCTTTGGACATGCTTGTGGTTTTGCGATGGCTTGCATGTCCTGGATTGCAGTTCTCTGCTGTTCCCGAACAAGCCCATTTGCTGGTAAAATAACTGACAGTTTTACTTTTAAGGTTAACATCGTTCATATTCAAACAACCACCAAGTCCTGTAGAACCTACTTCCTAAATCTTTCTGGAATCCATCCACTCCTCATTACCAGGCCATGTTAAGTTCCCCAGCATTTTCATTTTTGCAGCTATTTCCTAACCTGCCTTCCTGCCTCCAGTTTTGTCCCTTTGTGGTTCACCTTTGCAAATATTTGGATGCCATGGAACAAATGGTTTGGAGCACAGGCATATGGAGTTAAATCTGGCTTTGAATCGGAGTTCCACTGCTTCCTAACATTACTTTTGGAAAGTCGCTTAACCCCTGTGATATCATTAAAATAATGCATGGAGAGCCGTTAGCCGAGTGCAACTGGTAAGCTCACAGAAACTACTGGCTAATGAATACCTTTCTAGCCTCACACTTGACAGTCTTCCCTTTGAATCCCGCACTCCAGCCATACTGAATTTCTTTCAGTTTCTCACATGCACCAGGCCTTTTTTTTAAATCCTCAGACTTCACACATGCTCTACTCTAGCCCCCTCCGTGGTCCCCCTGGTCCATGTTTTGCTTGGACAACATCAATATATTTTTCAGCTTTTAGATGTCCATTACTGTGGGGGCATGGCTCCATCAACTGTGGGACCCTTGGGTGAATGGGGGAAAGAGCTGTGGGGCAGACACAACCTATGCCAAGGTCTTGGGGTGGAGCTTGGGGGTGGAGCACAGGCTGGATTTCCACCTGTGCTAACTCCACAGCTGTGCAGTGAGGACTTGCAGGACTTACAGGAATCTTCAAGGAGGCCTTCCCTGGAATCTCAGACTGATTAAGTCCACCTAGTACTTAATATCTTGGATCTTGGAATTCCCTCTTGAAAGATTTACCACACTGTAATTACATGCATAAACATCTAATTCCAGAGCCCAAGCTTTTAACAGTTGTCATATGCTGCCGTTTGCCCCTTAGGAACTCCACCTCCTCCTTCAACAGCCATTCTAGCAGAGGGCACTGGGCCCCACATGGAAGGAACACCTCAGCCTACACCCAACATTTGTGGAGTTGTCTCCAGTAATGTCTGAACATCCACAGCCATCTAAATTCTCTGACTCCAGTCCTGCTTTTAGATGTTTGGCTTCATTTCTTGGATCTTGGTCATATAATCAGTCACATATTTACTATGTCCATGATCTAAGGACTGGGAATATAAAGGTAACAAACACATGCATGTTCCCTGCTCTCGGGAGCTTCCAGTGGGTAGGCATGCTGTGTAGAGGGTCAGGATTTATCTCAACATTAAGAAGTGAGAAAACAAAATACTGTAACTTTGTTTTCAATGACTGAATTCAGTTTTTCTCCTCAGCACTAGGACAATGTCTGAAATAATGACTGCTGAATAAATGTTTGCAGAATGAATGAATAAAAAAAAGAAAGTAATTTGGAAGGAGACAGAAACTAACATTTTTTGAACCAGGCATTGTGTCAGGTCCTTTAAACATACAGTGTATTTTGAACTTCACGACTGTAAAGAGGACAATACCAATTCCACTTTCTAGATGGGGGAATTTTCATATGTTCAACTTCCTGAGTGAGAAATTCAGGCATTTGAATTAAAAATGCTTCAGAACTTAGAATTTTAAGAAGTTCCATGTAGTGCACTGAATTAGGAGAGGGAACATTTATAACTGGCTAGGGTGAGTCACTAAGACCTGTTCAGTTTTTCCTGTGAAAGATTAACTACTTGAAGAAGTTTATTAACTTCATTAGTCCATTCAACAGAAAATTCATGGCAAGAAGTAAGAGATGAAGGAGAGATTTCAGGTCAATTTGCAGCAGTTAACTCCACCAGTTTAATGTATCCAAACCACCCTTTTTAGTACAATTACCAGGGTCTAATTTGCTTTCAAAGCTGAGAATCATTCCAGGCTCTCCTTCTCCCTTTCCTTCAATACCCATCACTTTGTCCTGCTGGCTTTACCAGACCCCCTCACTCCGCCTTCCCATTCCCATTCCTGTGGACACTGCCACTTACCCAGACTCCCAACTTGTGCAAGTACCTCAACTTCCTTGTTGCAAAAACTTTCTTTTCTTTCTATCTTATTCCTCCCACTTCCTAGATATCAACAACCAGACCAGTACCAAGTGTGATCATAGCACAAGTGGTCATCCAAAATAAAGACCGCTTTCCCCAACTTCCTTTATAATTATGTGTGGTCAGATGACTAAGTTTGGTCAATGGGCTGTAAGCTGAAGTGCTCTGTGGCAGCTTCCAGGTAACTTTGCTTAAGAGAGAGCTGGTATTTGTCCCTTGTCCCTTCCTCCCCTTCCCTCCATTCTGCTGCATGGAGGTGGATGTGACAGTTGGAGCCCATCTTGAACTATGAGCTGTATCCTGGGAAATCATAGTGTCATGAGCTGAGGATGTCATGGAGCAAACCTCGGTACCAGACTATTTTGGACTTACACATGACAGAGGGGAAAAAGGCTTCTAGCTCATTTAAGCCACTGTTGTAATTTTTTTCTTACTGCAGTTACATGAACAGAATCTATCCAAGAATCACAAAAAACTAGGAGTAGCAGTTTCTTGTATTATAATAATATTACCAGTATTTTATTAAGCATATATATTCTTATAGAAGATATAGAATGAGTCCTATTTAAGTTTAAATCTGACTTTAAATCAAACACAAGCATCAGGAAAGGTCACTTAATCTTTATTTATAATGGTAGACTCCCGCTTTTGTGCCTCCTCATCACAGATCTCTGGCTCCAGTTTGTAATATGATACCCCATAAACCTTTGCAGAGTGAAATAGTTCTTGTAAAGGGTGCAGATAAATCAAGAGTCAGATTATGTTCGAAAAAGCTCAACAGCTGATGGAGGGAATATCCTTCTGCTTTAGCACAATTATCCTGGTAGGAACTCTTTGCACTTCTCACTCTATCTCACCTACTCTGTGGGTCAGTTACAGTTACCCATTATATACTGATGTTGGCTAATTAGCCTCTCCTGAGGCTCAGAGCCAAGCATTGAACTGTCAACCAGACATCTCCCACAGGTACTTCCAACTTAACAGACTCTAATCTCACCTTCCTCCTAACCTTGTGCCTCTTACCTGTTTTCTATCTCAGCAAACGATGTGCGTCTACAACGGCACAAAATGAGGAGTCATCGTTGCCTCCTCCCTCTTATCATTGCCCTTGGGAGAACTGATAAAGGGAAGCCTCACTGACATGGTATCTGGAGGCCTGCAGGAGGCGCTCTCAAGTCCACCACTCCTGGTCAATTGCAGACCCCACAGGAAAGAAGAGACGAACATGTTCATCTCATATTGTTTTGGCTTCTTTACCCTCCAGTAGGGTAAGAAGAGGGAAGACATTCTGCCTCCCCAAACGACAGCCCAGCAATAGCCCAGCCAATGAGAGACTGTTACAACTCAGTGAGGAGTTTTGTGCCTTTGTGGATGGCACATTTGCTGCGAAAACAGCAGCCACCACACATGGGCCTCCCAACTTCCTCCAGTGGACTTTATGCTTAGAAAAGTACCCCAATTCTCCCCCTTTCTTCTAGGAAAGAGCATT